GTGACTTGCGTCACTCGAGCTGTGATGTTATAACTTATACGCCTGTCTCTTAAGGTTAGGTTTCTAGAGAATTGGCTGCTTGTACTCCCCCTAACTCCGGAAGAGGATTGTGAGATTGTGTTGACCACCAACAATTGGCCTATCTAGTCTGAGTGCCTCTGAATGCATTCGAAATTTCTAACCAGCGAACACGACGGGTCACATAGGTACGCAAACCAACACATTCGCTTGAGGCTCAGTCTGGTCGAGATGCAAAGTCACCAGCAATATGCTGGCACAGTGTGCCGACTCTTCGCTGACATGTGACCGCAAACAGTCGCGCGACGGCTGGGTACACCGTGAGATCCGGCAAATACGAACCGGCCGGCAATCCGTTATACGTATAACTGGAATTTTGCTTGTACTTTATGCAATTCCTTGAGTTGTTTGTAGAGCACTTCAGTGTTAACACTAATTGGGTGCACAGTTCTGCTTCTTGTTAGAGGCGTTAACAGCAAAATGCTTTAACTGAGAGTTGTACCCCTATGGAAATCCAGGTATCATGAAACCTTGAGATAGTAAAAGAATTGAGACCAACTTGCAATTGTTGCTCGCCCTTATCAACACATTGTCTAAACTTACTTCACATAGTCAAAGTAAATTGCATTGAACCAAGCCTGAGTGTTAAATATCAATGCTCAGTTCAGTACCCACATTTTAGTATGACTAACTTGTTTCCAGTTCATTCCGCGTTGCACCAGTCCCGAGTAGCATTATTATCCCACAAGACGACAGCCAAGTTCATAACTTGGCAAAATCACACCATGATGTTCTTTGATGTGGCATTTTCCGGTGGTCCCTTTTATTTCTGTTGTCTTGAGTTGCTAAGCAATTCATGGACAGGACTTTCCGTTAATGAGCAAAGAAACCTGATTAGTGGGGTGGTAAATAGTTCTATACCCATTCATGCTAGTATGTGCAATGCCACAGTAGTATGCGTCCGTGCTTTTCACAAAAAGACTAGCGGTATACTACCTATTTTGCTAACTCCACAACGACCCTCTTCTACGTCGAGCTAGAGCACCCGATGTAACCTTATAAAAGCGAACATCAGAAGCCAAGTTACGCGGACAAATATGGTTATTGTCAACTCTATTATTTAAGTAGACTGCTAGTCAATTTGCCACGCGAACTTGAACGAGGAACTGTATTTATATATACTTATATTTTATTAATCGATGGGATAGGAAATTTACTGAAACTGGCGCGGTAACTCAATTATACTTAGTGTGCCATATTTTTAACCAAGATACCGTAGAAAACTGTATGAATAATTACTTGCAAAAGATATGACTGTGGTCCATTTCTTCTCAGATCCAAGATAACCTAGATATATTGAAGCAGCACTGGTGTTAACGGTAATATGGTCATACATACAAAACTTTGGACGTTCGAAATTTATTCCGGATCCCCGCAGCTTACCCGTGTGCTATCTGTTAAACTTCAATCTACAACCTACTTGTTAAACCCCCTTTAGTTTCAAATTCGTTGCCGTCCTTGATTTTATCCCAACCCTATCTGTCGTACTTGCTCGCTTCCCACTGTATAAGTTGTCCCAAGGGTCACACATGTCAACCATCTGCTCATTCACGCCTGCCTTCGAACACACATGCTAGCCCTCTGCTCGTTAACAGCTTCGCACAAACTTGCTCCCTGTAGCCAAACTGAAGCGTAACGCGTTATTATCCGCTGTACAGCAAACCAATTAGGTAGAATTTTGTGTCCCATAAAAGAGCCCTTGAGATTCCTCGCGTTTGCAGTTTTCTTTTTATCCGGCTGTACGGTTGCAAGTACGGTAAACTCCACTGTCCTTGTGCAGTTCATGTAGACCCGATATTTCTAGCACTGCGCGAGTACTGTTGATTACTGTAGTTAACTTTGGGATTTGCCATGCTTCGACCTGGAACTACTCTGTGTTGCCCCAGCCCTAAACATATATGTTGCTTTCAACGAGACCAAGAGTCTCGTTGACGCTAACCGAAATTATTTCCCTTTTTACTGGTTTCAAACTATTGTCTGTTTGTCGTTTTACTGTTTCATACAAGCTATAATTCTGCCAACTGTTTTCAAAATCGCCATGTCTGTCCAACAATGTACTGTCAAAGATGTACTCCAGACGCCCTTTTCTGACCAGTCTAATGCCGATGTGGAAACGATAACGGTGTAAGGCCCATCATGGATTCATCTGACAGTATGCAGCGTGACATCTGCCGCTGCCAACATCACCAACGTTGCACCGGACTTAGAGCAGACCGGTACAAACTATTGTCATCCATCGTAAGTTTGCTGTTCAGTTGTGCTAGCTGCTGCACTCAAAGAAGAAAGCGCATGGCTTTCCCTATTACCGACCTTACAGTACTGGTACCTGAGCTGATAAATGTTTAGTAAACGTTAGTCTAAATCATTATCTTGACGTTCTCAGCAATAAAGTTGACTTAAACATGGAATCCCTGAGTGTCGCGAGCACGTAGATTATTGCAGAACACCTCACTGCTGTTAGTCCACACTTGGCGTTTGTTTCCTCTCCGAGAGCTCACCCATCTTACCGGACGCTAAACGTATATTGGAGGTAACTGACTCAAGTTCTTCTGATAGCATCTTTGAATCTGCGCTAAGTAAAACTGTGTCACGGAGCTTATAGGTCAAAAATCATTGCGCGTAAAAAGGCAGGGAAAGCACATATCCCGTCCGTCCCCAAATCGAAAGTTAAGCGAATGAGCAGGGTAAAATAGCCTGAGCAAGGAGCACAGCCTCCTCTTACTATAATTCCCTCATTGCAATGTGAGATGCTTCACCTTCGATCACACCGATCGAAAGACAGAGGCATTACATGTATTTAAGTCGTTCAGTATCGCGCAACATGGATTTTGCAAAGGATTTTTGTGTCAGACGAACTTACTGGTAACACTTAACACTTTGGAGTTTGACTGAAGCAGTTTACAGTGAGTACGCTGCAGGCATGCTCATTGTTTACTTTGCTTAGGCTTTTGATAGTGTTTCTCATTCGTGGCTAACTAAAATTTTGCTCTCCTGGGAAAGCTGATCGCCCCCTTCAGTGGGTGACGGATTCGCTAGATGGTTGGGAACAGTGTGTACGCCTTAGATGCACTCATTTTAAAATCTTTTTATCTATATTATGCAAGGTTCCTTCTTGGAGCAGATGCAAATGGCTCGATGGGAGAACTTGAAGTATCATCGCTCTTACTTGCTGATGAACTATATCTCCAGAATATTACAATCGTTCCTACGTGCCTGAGACTCTTCATCGGGAAATGCAACGCTATTGGAGTGGTCTGTTTTATGGTTTTTGCTGTCAACCAAGTACAGCGTTTCCGATCAGCTGACTCCTCGATACGTTATATGATCGGTGGGAATGGAATTCCTCGTATGACTAAGCAGCTTGATTTCGGTGTCTTCCACTGTTCCTCTTTTCACTCCGGAGACAACTGGAAAGCGTCTAGCAAAGCGTTTCGAACGTTGTGGCTTATCTGACCTTATTTAGGGACCCAAATGGCTGGCACGTTTGTTAAATTGGTCTCAGCTTTCGTGCGATCCCACATAGTGCATTGCGTCCACACCGGTCCACCATACCTTGTCCGGGGCAAACCAGAGTCAAAAAGGTGCAACAAGTCCATACCAGATTAGTCCAGATGACAATCTTATCCCGAGCGCCGACCTAGTTTTTGAATTCACTCGATGCATTGCCGTAGGATTCGTGGAGACTTGATTACCGCGTAACGCTTCCTTACGTGAACAATCGGCCCAGACACATTCTGACCATTTAGCCTACTAAGACATCAAGCCCCTGTGGACACTCCATCAAGCTGCACAAATCAGGCTTCGATCGGGTGAGAGCAGATACCAGTTTATCGCGTTGAAGTATCGAACGCTGCCACTCTTCACTCTGTCCCTTCCGCCATTGACGTTCTGACATATAACGCTAGAATTCAGAGGTAATTTCATCAACGATGCAAGAAGACCGCGCTGGTCGATCGATATTCATAAAAAACATAAGTGTAATTGTAGCGTCTTTAGGTGAAGTGAAGGTTGGTCTTTTGAACACTATCATCAGAGCTGAAGCAGATTGCATTTCCATGTTTCTTGATTCCCATTAATTGGAGATAACATGCCTTGAAACCGTGACTTTTGGAATATTGGCCGGAACTTTTGCCCTTCCGGATACCAGGTCAACACGGGCAATTCCTAGCACATTTAATGGCGGATGGGACAATCATTTTGAAGCACACGTTGTGTGTTTGTGCGCATCTGTGCGTGTACTGTTTGTGTGTAGTTTGTGCGACTACCAGCCCACTGCGTGGCACGTTTCTTATTTTCCACACCTATCTTCATAAACTGAGAAGTAAAAGTATGAAAGAATGAAATAAACATCTACAATACAAAAGGTGTTTACCAATTACATCCCATTTTGCACTGCTGCTGAAGTTATTTGTGCGCCTCTATACACTCGTGATTATTCCATCAGTTTACATCCTGACATACTTTGATAAACTTGGGTGCGATTTCAAGTACCAGACCAAAACATAGCACTGTAACTTTTAAGATCGGGGTGTTAATCGCCCAAGGTTCGCTGCAATACGAGTTGTTGTCCAAAATAAGCTTACACATCGTGAAACATTCACTAGAGTGTCTCAAAGTGCAAGATTTATTAAGCCGTTTTAACGCAACACTATTATTTGATGATATTTCTTATCATACTGTGTTCTTAGTTTGTTGCAAATTTTGTCGTCCGCCAAGGACGTAGAACATTCGATTAGGAACTTGAGTAAATTTTCTGCGTGCCCTTAGGCTCACAAAATAACGCATCCCCGTCTGGGTGTCTTTCACTGAATCATGGAAGCCACTATGGATTTGCCTAGATGGATGGGAGTATATGGTAAGTAAAATCCTTATATCTGACACCGGATTCTGAAGAAATGGAGGGAAACAGCTCAGTGACTCACTTTCCTCGCTCCATTTTTGCAAATACTGCAGACCAACGATCCTCCTGATGATATTCAAGACCAAAACGACAAGACAGTCTGCAAACGTCCCACAGCTGAAATCTTCGGGCAGCGTCGGCCAAATCTTTCCACAATAAGACTCTGAGGATGGAAGTGAAAAATAACCAATTTTTGTGAGGTGTCATGTGAAAAATATAGACTTTCCAGTGACGTAACACGTACCAGCCAAATCCAGTTTGGAATCGAACCCAATGACACTATCAGTTATGGAGGAGGGAGGAGGTTAAATCTGGGTAGAAGCTAGTTTGCAGGAGGATAATACATTCCAACTCAAAGCGACTACAAGTATTGAGAATCAGGTACTGAGTAATTCAGCTTGTGCACACCAAGGAAGAACTCTTGATGGATGGGATACTTACAAACACGTCAGTTGATCGCGGTGACCGTGTAACACGGCTGTTTGACTAAATATTCCATGCGGAATATTTTTAAGAAGAGGATGTTAATCTGCAGTCAGTTTAACATGTTATCCACGCTTGTTAAACAGACATCTTGGACCTCCTTAACTTATACTCCTCTGAAGTCGTCTGGGAAAGGTAAACAAAGACTTTTAGAACACTTGTAGCACAGGCATCGGAACAGAAATCCCTACATCGTTGAAGCAAACTAAGTTATTTCTAGAGATCAGAAGAAGCAAACATATGTAGCTGATGGCTTTAGCACGGCACACTCAAGAGGACTGCCCCAATGCCGAAACCTGGAATGGATACATGACACATGTTAAGATTCGTATGAACTTGCTCCGCAAGGAAAGGCGACGCATCAACAGGAGTTAATGAACCAATTCTGCACGCGCCACAATCTCTTATGCACCCAAGTTATTAGTCTAGCGCGGAAATCCAGCAGTGCCGATACGTAGCCTTAAGCATCACAAGCCCGCCCTGTAATCCGGGAGCGCGGTTTCTAATCTGCGTAGGGACCGGGCGACCCTCGCAGTATCCTTAACCCACCTGCGACTGGTGGTGGCTGCGTGGCAGCGAGGCGTCAGTATTACGTACCAGAATACTTCTGATACCTTGATCCCCGTAAAGATTAGGACTGACGAGTACAAGCTAGCATCGATGAAAACAGCTGCTATCTTACTGTCTCATTACACCCATGTTTTCCAGTGCCTGACGATTCCAAGTCTTCATCTCGTTTCTGTTACTCTACCGTCATGTTTATCCAACATTAGTTTACTGGAGAAGCCATGTTGACGAAGTTGATGTCCTCGCATACGTATCGTTTCCATGCGTGGATAACATTCGACCAAAGGCTCTGCAGGCATCAGCCAACGATCTAGTAGAACCACTGGCCATTTTCTGCTAGCACCCTCTGGAGGATAACCAACTTCCACCGATGTGAATGTCTGTGGCATCACTCTTATTCATAAGACAGGTAGCCGCACGGACGAATCCAATCACCATCCGATAACCACTTCCTGTGTTATTATGGAATCACTCATACCAGATGCATTGAAGCTATATCTGCACAACGACGAAATAATAGCCCCGGAGCAACATGGTTTCCATCAAAATCACTCATGTAGTATTAATCACTTAATTGCAAGCAGTGATTGGAACGAAGCATGTAAAGTCCTTGCTGATGAGCAGCACGCGGTAACTAATGCCCATGAGAGATTAACTGTGGAAAGCACACAAATCCGATCCCAACACCAAAAACTGGAATGCTCACATAAACGAACGAAATCAATGCAACAAAGTTATCCACAAATACAAACTGAAGCATACACATGATTTAAAGACGAAAATTTGTTGCGATTCTAAGATACTTTAGCGAATGGTTAAAAAATTCCTGACGTAGAGCATGGCATTCCGCCTTTAAACACCGTCTGGGAACGAAGTACCCATGAAGCAGCTAATTCTCTGAGACATCATTACGATTGTAATTTCCAGAACGTATCGCCATCTTATATAACTCTCACACATATCACATCACATCTTCTTCACAGTCACGGATATGCTGAATCGGCTGAAAGTACACAAGTACAGTTCGTCTGCTCCGGATGACATATGTTCCAAGATTTTGGTGATAGCCGCCACGAGCTTGGTCTAAGCATGATCACCCTATTTCCAGAGCTGTGTCAATGAGATGCGGGTTCCAACTATGTGGAAGCCTAAAACACTCACACAAATTTGCAAGGGAGGCTATAGTGCAGTGTCTGAAAACTATCACCACATTACTTTTCACTCTGCGCTTGCTAAATTCATGAAAAATGTCGCTGCAAAAACGCCGTGTAATATTTGGAAAGGTGCCATACCATCGTGCAGGTGCAGTATGGATTCCGCCAAAGTTGCTTATGTACCACGAATATTTTGGTAGCCCGTTCGAGCTGGACGGAATCCACCAGGACCCTGGCAGAAGTCGACGTAGCTTACCTTAATCTTCCAAAAGCACTGATCGGTTAGACTACCGTACTATTCTTTACAAGCTTTTGAATTGTGGAATTGCTGATGCTATGCTTGGATGAATTCATTCATTCCCACTCCAACACGACTTAAATGTGCGGGTTCGTAGTTACCTGTCCGATCCGACAGAAGTTAAAGGTGACCTCCAGCAATGCTCAATACCAGGACCACCACTATTTCTCCTGTTCATTAAAGAAATCACTGTGATGCTGACGTTAGACTTTCTGATATTTGCAGATGATCTCAAGAGAGTGGACGACCACACATCATTGCAAATGGATCTCGACAGCACTTATGAGTGGTCGGCGCAAAAGCTGATTGGGTCTAACCCTGTCAAGTGCAAAATATGGGACATAGGTTATGAGATCGCCTACGAATATCTACTGGAAGAATACTTGCTGCAGCGCGCTTCTCATAAGAGATATCTGGAAGTGTCGTGCAGGACTGTCTCTGATGCTTAAAACAGGCCAAGATAGTTGGGAAAAAACAGCCAACACTTTAGCCAACTGCGGAGGGCCTTTGGACTCTTTGATCCTATTTCATCTTCGAATCTGCACAACGATTATGGAAAGCCACAGGTAGGATACGCAATCAGGTGTAATACCTTTGGCATAACCATGACCACACTGCCTTAATAATCTACAACAAAGGGCAAGCAAAACTATTAAGTAATCGCTCCACCTTCGCTTACAGCTTAGACTAAGTACTATAGTTTCCTGTGAACAATATCGTCTGCGAGATGCTCTCATATTAGTTTGTCAGAGTCGCACGGTTTCTAACCACCCAGGTTGACACTTGTGGAAACTCAGTACCAAACACATTACTGTGCGGTCACCATTTGAAGTTAACCACAAATAACAGCCAGTTGGATTGTCGCCGGAAAGTTTTCTTTATTCCTGGATCTGAGCCGTGGAACTAACTTCCGCATTCCGTCCAATCCGCACCTACGTTGTCCGAATTCAAAACACGATTTGATGATTCAGGACACCACCAGCATTACATAAATTAACCTGTTACTAGGATAGGAGACAACGTAACCAAACTATGTGTGCTCGTGTAATTTACAATTTGTATACGCGACGCCTTTTCTGATACATTCAATTTCGCTCTCACTCTTTATTTGCGGAAAGCTGTCATGGGTCTGCTCTCTATCTGTGATAAATCCACTGTTCATTGTTCCATTGGAACAAAGGTACAATGGTGTAAAGCTTAAGAGGTATCGTAGAATAGTCACGGTGAATACCACACAATATTGAAAATTTTTGCACAAGTTTAAACCGGTAGACTCCCCGCGTTATACACACATTAAGTTGTAACTCCAGTGTAAGTTTATAAGAAATAACGGTTTTCATATATTGCCGAGGTAATGCCTCGTACTTTATACACAACGCGCGGTAATTTCCACGGGAGACTCCGCATAAGGTGTATTCGCAGAACAAGACCACATGACCACTACGGCCCGAAAGCACGTCAACGATTACCCTCTCAATTATCACTCCTTTGCTAATAAATACCGCATCCAAAGAAGAGGTCATATCCGTTTCTGTGAATTTGGCGGGAGTGTTAACGTGGCCATAGAGCAGCAAACTAGACGCAAGTTCTTGTAGATCCGCGTTGAGCTTTTCTCCAGGGGTGACTTGGGATTCCAGAGGGAGAATGTTGAAACCACCAGTACAAAGAATGTGGCTTCACCTTTTTATATCTCCTGCCTCTTTGCGGATGCCTGATAGAAGTGCATCTCTGAGGTGGAGGAGAGACGGTGCTAAATGACGACCACCGACCAAGTGTCGTCGCTTTTTAAACGTAGATGGCACCAAAGGGAATTCTACGCTGTGTTGACGGGATCCTCTATGGGCTCACATTAGAGGTCACTGTAGAAGTACAGAGCCACTCCTCCACATTTATTCGGTCGGTTGTGCCGAGCAACAGACATACCTGGAATTACAATCTGGATGTCATTTATGTTGGGGCATAACCGCGTCTCCGTTATGGCGATGAGGTCACAGGCTGTTGATTTTTTAAGTTCAGAAAGTTTGCTAAGTATTAAGCATATGTGCGCATTCAAGAAAACTTCTTGGTTGTCAAGATCTCTTAATAACGATTATATGAAGGAGCTGAATTTGTGTCGAGTACTGAAATACCGGCAGTTAATCGCTTTCTGGTGAGTTTCCAGATCTGGATATGAATAAAATCTATTTTTGTCTCACCGCGACACGCAGGTGGGGCAATGAATGCGACTATATAGATATTACTAAATATGACAGGTTCAAAACCCTGTTTCGATGATTTGGTAATGGGGTTGATGATGTATACCCTTTTTTCGACAGCTCTGACGACAAATAGTCGAATGACTGGCGTGTACTTGTGGTTCATGCAGACTGATTTACCAGAATTGACAACGTTCTTAGTGGGAATTAACTAGGAATGCGTTAGTAAATGCTACCACCCTGATATTGTGACCACAATGTGGGAAGATCTAGTTTTATCATTTTTGGCACACGCGTTTTCCAAAGTTATTCAACATTGGTGAGCGTGTTGAGAAAACATGGACCGGATACGAAATAGTGGTTACTCTAGCCTTCTTGATCCCCGGTTTAACCTTCGATATGTTCTTAGTTAACGTACAACTCTGTAGGACAGTGCGACGCAGGGTAACTTTGCTTCTCATGCAGCCATTTGCAACAGTACTTCAGTATTATGGGATAAAATGCGATAGTAGTACAAGTCCCATAGGGTGGAAAATGGAAAAGGAAATTCAAATGATTGCAACGTGAAAGATCAGTGTACACCTTGCAGTATATCAAACGTAAGTCGAGTAATCTTTCACATATCCTATCCTTGTTCACGGGTACACTGACGAGCAAGTCTGAAAAGGCTTGCGAACAGGTAATTAGATGCACCCTGGATAACGTACCTTTCTTTTACGTTATATCCGACGTCTACCTCTCCGTTTGCTCTTTCTGGTTGTGGTGGTGGATGTACAAACATGGCTGCAAGTTCTTTCCAAGTGTCAGCTCTCGAAGCCAAGCGGTGAACAGACTCCTGGTTGAGTATAATTTTACTCAACAGATCGTCTTGATTGGTCTTCCTACCGGATCCACCCTGTCTGGGCGTGGTGTCCGATATGGAGGCAACCAAGCTTCGCTCCATTTCAACGGCGTGGCTGAAGCGGTTGGGAGCGAGCAGTTCCCCCGCCTTTATCAGTATGCTGCGCTGCAGCAGTAAGGATATTGCAATAAACGTTATAGGTTTGCATAGTAGTTAAAGGGAAGTTAATATATGATAAAACCAAAGCTAAAATATCCAACTTTTAACAACTGCTCTAATTATTCATGTCTCAAGCTGAATGTTATGAAGTGATGACCCACTAGATAAAATGGATAAGGGGTGTTCCTACATGTGTAGTATAAAGCAGCATTCTGTCAGGTTGGTCGCGTCTTCCGTTGATGATCCTATAAGTGAGCAAACAATCTGATCAGATTAGAGTTTATTTTCATTCCCTAATATCTTTCAGTCAGAAGTCAAGCATTTTTGATTTACACTTTCGGGGGTTTCCTCATGGAAGCTTCCAAATCACGTCGTCTTGTACATGACCGCAGTTAGCTTGTAAATCATTAGGTACCGCCAGTCTTTACATTGGCTCGGTGACATAAGTTGCATGCTAGCTTTACAAGCCGTTAACATTCCTGGATTCAGATTCTGATGGAGCCGATCGATTCGCACTACTGACGCAACCCAACATGTCGAAGCGGCCATCTTGACAGCTTCACCTCTCTGCGGGCTCTTAGAGACCGAGAAACTGGCCTGCTTGTATACAACTGCTCAAGGACTTTCTAACAAACTGGCTGAACTGAAAGATCGCCAAGCTTCCGGCTCGTATGATGTCATTGGTATCACCGAGACACAGTTGCACACGGGAATGACGGACGCTGAAGTGTCGCTACCAGGCATGTCGCTGATCCGGAACGACAGGCTCACAAAAGGAGGAGGGGTAATCCTGTACCACCGAAACGACTTACAGTGTGAAGCCGTGGAGGATTCAGACTCGCAGTTCCCCGACTCTCTTTGGTGCCGGTTGCAGTTAAAAGGCAGGGACGCTTGACTTATTGTCTTGGTGTACTGCGCCCCTAACTCAACACCCGAAACCAAATACCACCTAACGGCTGCCTTATGGTGCAGTTTACAACAAAAGTACACTCACATTCTTATCATGGGTGATTTCAGCGTACATTGTTTAGAAGCCCCTGCCACGATCGGAGAGCAATTCATAACCGCTACAAGATCCAGTAACTACTGTTCCTCTTTACAACCACGTCACTTTGCCCACTCGGTTCAGAACTGGTAACAGGCCATCTGTGCTGGATCTTGTGCTTACCAACGAGGAGCATATGATTGGTGCGTTGGTTTTAGACTGCCCGTTGGGTCGCAGTGATCACGCAGTCATCAGTTTCAACTTCGTCTGCTATGCAGAATATTTGAATGATAACGATGACACTGTGCGAACCAGTACAAGGTACGACCGACTCGCCCAGCTAGTCAGCGACACAACATGGTCTTTCCTCGAAGAAGAACCCCCGGAAGTCGCCTGGCTCTAGTTCGTCAACACATTCAGTCAGCTGATTGCACAGGCTTCAGAGATAAAAGCTTGCAATAAGTGCAAATCCGTTTCTTTCGTTAGGAGCAGAACTCGAAAATGGATGACAGTACGCAACGCAGCATGGCGAGTGTACAGAGAAGCTCCAGCACCAGAAAATTGGGACAACTACGTAGCCCAACGTAACCACTGCACTCAACTGTTAAGAGAAGACAAAGCCGCCTATCAGCAGAACATCGCAAAAACCTTCAGTGCTAACCACAAACTGCTGCACAAGCACGTTAATAGCCAACGAAAGGTGAGGCAAGGATTTCCTCCACTCAAGACGGCTGATGGCCCAACAAGAAAGGCTATGGAAGCTGCAAACGCGCTGCAGATGCAATACGCCCCCACGTTTCAAAGAGTCTTGCTACCAAGCGATCTACCAAGCTTTGTATTCTGCTCACCAAGACTAACCCACATCAATTTTACCGCAGAGGATGTATTGCAAAAGTTGACTTCTCTACGCAAACACAGCTCGCCGGGCGTCGACACTATTCGTCCAGAGGCATTGGGAGCAGCAGAAAAGCAACTGACAGGACCAATAGCTCAGTTTTTCCAGCGCTGCTTAGACCAGAACCAAGTCCCCGCCATGTGGAAGCTAGGAATAATAACCCCGATTCACAAAGGTGGAAGCAGAACTGATCCCTCCAACTATCGCCCAGTAACCCTTCTTCCTATACTCTCCAAATTCATGGAATCCATAGTTGCCGATGCACATGTGTGCTAGCTGGAAAACTGCAACCTCATCACTCCTGAATAGCACGGTTTCCGTCGACAGCGGTCATGTACAGCGAATTTACTAATTGCCCGCAGTAGTTGGACCGAGGCAGCTGACGCTGGCGAAGAGGTTGACGTGATCTACCTGGATTTTTCCAAGGCTTTCGATCGGCTAGACCATCGGATACTACTATCCAAGCTGCAGCATCACGGGATCGGAGACCCTCTTTTAAGTTGCATCGCCAACTTTCTACTTCAACGGCAATTAGCGGTCAGAGTTCGGCGCTATTTATCGGACCCCATACAAGTGGAGTGTTGTGTGCCGCAAGGCTCGGTTCTAGGTCCACGTTTGTTTTTGGTGTTCATTAATGGCCTTGCACAGGGAATCGCTTCAAACTTCCTAATGTTTGCCGACGATATCAAGATCTGGCGCAGGATTCAGGCGAACACCGACCAACATTTGCTTCAGAGTGATTTAGATACGGTGTATGAATGGTCGACCCAAAACCTATTGCATTTCAACGTCAGTAAATGCAAGATGCTTTCCATTCGACATCAAAGCAGCTACTCATACCGACTCGGAACGGATGTACTGCAACAATCAACTCTCGAACGTGACTTGGGTGTCCTGGTTCAAGATGACTTGGGTTGCTCCAGGCAATCCGAAAAGGCCTCGAAGACCGGGAACCAACCCATCGGGCTGTTGAGGCGGGCGTTTGGACAAATAAAGATCTCCATATTTCGACAAATGCTCAGTGCGTATGTTCGCCCCCATGTCGAATATGCAATTCAAGCCTGGCATCCATGGCTGAAACATGACCTTAATGCACTGGAGCAGCCACAACCTCGGGCATCTAAGAACGTAATTGGAATGTGCAATCGGTCCTACCAGGAGAGGCTGCGACGACTAGGATTGTTCAATGGGAGTTATCGCAGACTACGAGGCGACCTGATTATGGCATACTTGATTCTGCGAGACCCACATCATGTGTGCCGCCCTTTACTGCAACTCAGCAGCAATACAAACCTGAGGGGCCACTCATTAAAACTCGCAGAACAATACTGTCGTCTGGAGTGCCGCATAAATAACAAGTAGATAGACAGGAAATTGCTTCTGTTCAATACTTTGTGACAAATCTGGATTCACGGAATAGAATTGGCTATGACCAGCTATGTGGTCAGTAGCAGGTGTCCGAGATGCTGGTTATAAAAAATGAGAGCCGGTTCATTAGGCTTGTGCTAACAAATAATAGATATGCCAGCTGATTTATGTTCCAAATTATCCAAATAAACTTGTTCCCAAAGTAACCGAACTTTGGGGAATTGAAGTTTCGTTGCGTAATACAAAGACCAATCACCGACTGATTTGAGCTTAAAAACCATTGGGTCTAAAACATCAGTAAATGGTGGCTGTAGCTGACGCGGCGGCACCTCGAAATCGGTGACTTTCCGAAAATCGAATCGCTATTCCATGCTGCTGGTCTATCATCCCGGCAATTCTTACTATTGCCATATTTGTTTTTCTTTTCTTTTCTACCTCGTTCACTTGTCTGAGAGGTCAGCAGCCAGTAATAAAGGTGCTACACTTCGGTGTTCAGGTCAGGTGCGCGAGAATGAGTTGCACGGGCGGTGGTCCCCGATAGCACGTAGCCTACGCTGTTTTACCTGGAAAGTGATCACATGCATACGAGAAAATCTCTCATATTTCCCAACGGAAGCTCGGGAAGCATCACAAGCTTCTACCAAGCCTTCCATGGGCTCGCGACGAACATTCACGATATATGCATAATCAACTCACCACGCAGTCTTGAGCACTCGTGATCTCCGACAATTTCACCGCACCGGCCCCAAACGCCAGCTGGAATAGTTGGTGGAACTTAGATGCGCGAAAATCTGACAATTCTACACAACGGAGATGCTCCAGTATTTGACCAACTGTGTCCTCTGCCCTAGTCTGTGTGCCGTATAAATTTGCCCGAAGTTGCAGACGATTGTACAGATGAACAATGCCTTCAGTAAATTCACTACGTTCGTCGTATTTGAGAGACTGCATATAGAGGAAGGAAGATAAGGCATGGGTTGACAGTTTCTCAGTGGTGAAATATTTGAAGAAGAACACATCAGTAGTTAGAACGTCGGCCGCACATTAAAGTTTGCATAGGCTTATCCTTTATCCTGGATCGGTAGCAAATTCGCATAAAAGTTATACACTAACACTTCGGCTGGTGATATTTATCATCGTGTTAACGGCGAGGGATTATGGCTAATTTTTGGTGGTTTTGCGCGGCACACACGAACGTCAGTAGCCTGATGATCCCGGTGTGCACCGTCAGACACTAGCTCCCGGCTTCCACTCCAGACTCTGACTGTATCTACATAAAAGTGTTAGACAAGGGCGGAACCCGTCATGGATCGCAGCTTTGGGAGCAAGTGACAACGAAGCTCTCAATTTCTGCATCAGAGTAGAGGAGTGTTCAAAAAGAAACCAAACTTTTGCAATAGAAAGGAAGCTGGCAGAGTGACCTCGCTGCGGCTACTGAGTGCATATGGATGCTTGCTTAGACAACAAACTGCCTTTTGCCATATTTCGCTCTAACTGTTAGTTGGGGAGTTACAGTCGCTGAAGTTAACAGGTGCAAAAGCCGTTTGTGGGACTAGTGCAAAAGTGATCTTGAAAGCGCTTAAAGAACAATACGTATGTGTGAAATTTTGCTGCAAACGGTAAAACTTTTATAGAGATATTTCAGTTGCGTAGCCAAACATGTGGAGAGGAGTGTAAAAGTCGCACGCACTGCTATGAGCGGTTTACGTGTTTTGAACACGTCAGGATGTGCGTCGGTGCTGATCCCAAGCGTAGACGACCTACCGCATCAGCAGACGTTGACCATGTAGAGGACTTCGTGCCACGATCCGTGTTCGAACGTGGGCGTCAGCGTAGGGTCATGCCATCAAATTCTAGCGCGTTAGTAGAAAGATGTGGGTTGGAAGCGGCATGGACTGTGGGAAAACCAGACTTGAATGTTGAATAATGACAGCGCGCCGGCTCACACACAGTTGCTTGTCCGCAGCTACCTAGCAAAAAACCACACTTCCGTCGTGCCCAATCCATCGTATACTCCAGACCTAACCCCTGCAGACTTTTTCCTGCTGGTCAAACATAAAACCACCTTGAAAAGATGTCGATTCTAAACCAGAGATGGGGTCCTAGACAATGCGGCAAAAGACTTGCGAGCCATCCCAGGAAATATGTTCCAGGAGACTTACCATAAATGGAGGCACCCTTGGGAACGATGTATTGCTACTAGGATGGATTAGTCTGTGGGGGAAGTGTTTAAAATGTTCTGCAATGAGAAACAATGATGTTATAGCAAAGTTCGGCTTCTGTTTGAACACCCGCCGTATATTGGGTGTCTAGTTTGTGCCGTGTCAAGAGATGTGGCTCTGTAGTGCATGCCCTATGGATGATCATAGCTGCAGGCAGCTCGATTGCTTGCACGCATTAACTACTTCTTCGATCAATTGCTCTTAAAGTGGAACTGTTATGTAGCAGCCCTACTTGGTGCAGCCGCACTTGAGAAATCAGTGCTTGTCAGAATTCTGACTAACGCTTGAGTAGCAAACTTCCAGGTAACCCTAGTGACGGCTACACACGGGTTGGGAATTACTGATTACTTCCTTTCATTGGAAGCAAGTGAATTTAGTCTTCGGTAGATTTCGTTTTCTTGCACCCAGACCCTATTCCTTTGATTACTATTATGAGTCATTTTATCTTGCATGATTGCGTAGGTGGCTTCAAGCGCGCGTTGTGTGAATAGATTAATAAGCGCAATCTCAAAGTAAAACGCAGTTAGCATTGAACCGGAACCCGATCATCTTAATCACTGGGGTCATATGTAATGATGCAGATGGAACTTAGTTGCCACCGGCCCAAAAACACTGCACTTTAGGACCGGTTTCAAACTTAGTTTATACCGACAGATGGAAGTTGTGGGCATCGAACTAAGGCTCTTTGCAGTATTAACTAAAACCTCTAGCCCTGAGTCGCCGAGTCACTCCAAATAAAGCTTGGCACAGTAGTTACTAACTGGCTGGGGTAGGTGTTTGGATACCCTCATTGTGTGAATAGATTGTGACGCGCCATCTCAATGTCGATCGTGATTCGGATTGGGGTGTACCTTGGTCAATTAAGGTTCTGTGCCCGTAACTAGAGCAGACGAATACTGGTTGTTACCCGCGTCAAATTCACCGTATTACGCGACTAATTTTGAAATTATTTAATCTCATCAGCTTCAGTGAGCAGGCCTCGAACCTGGGGCCTTTGGGGTAAATGTCGAAACTTCTAACCCTAAGGCACCGAGTCGCGGCGGGGAACGGCTACTCTCCCAGGGATCGAATTAGGCCAGGATTCCATACAATGCGCATGGCGGTCCCCATTGAGATTGTACGCCGCAATCCATTCATCAAATTGCTTCACAATGACCCGTTCAATCAGTCCTTTACCGTGGTGACAAGCGTAGACCGTCGTAAGACAATGGATAAATGGATGGAACTCCCAACAAAATTGACGATGGTCCCGTACGCAATGCCTACTACCTCTACTTGAGGAGCTGAAATAATTTCGAAACGGGTAGTCGAGTTGCACGTTTACATGTGAGTAACACCTATGATATTCAGTTGCTCTATTGCCTCTTCACTTTGTTCTTACATTGGCTCGTTCATGTTGACTCTGCTTGGTCATTCAGCTTTGACTGAGATTGCATACCTAGTTGTCTTTTTAACATCCTTTCGATGTTGTTATTGTCTGCTGCACTCACTAGTACTCAGTGAAATAGATTGCAACACTTGTCTATCTCCGTAAACAAAACCATTTAAATTCCTATTGCGCTTACCCAAGGTCCACCGGTGGTTTTTTCTAACATCCACAGTTGCAACCACACACCTGCACGCAGTTACTGCAAAGGTGGATTGAGGTGAATGGTAGCCACAATTTAATCGATGCGGACACACACAGTTTGGAAGCGAATAAGCTAGAACTAAGTGTGCAGTAGTGCGTTTGACGATGGCTAGACCGTAGCCAGTCCCACAACAACTAAATCCTGTTAGTTCAGGGCTATCAAAATCTGTGTGTACTCCCTATATTCAGGCAACAAGTAGCTGTTAAGTGGGTCCAGTGATCGAGTCAATCACGCCAAACTCGAATAAACGCCGTATGTCACCACGGAATAAGGTCAGAAGTAGGCTAAGCAGCGTTAATCCGTGCAAGTATAAAGTGACCGGAGCGATGACTCCTCACCTAAGCTGCAGCGAAAGCAATATTAGAGGTCGGTAAGTGAAAGCCACGTAACATACGCATCGATCATTTGGATAAGCTTATTCCGCCAAAGTTGCTGAATTACCGAACCGGTAGAGCTGAGGCAAAGAAGGACGCAGGCACCGCAATGTCATGGGGATAGACGTTCGAGTTAGTACCGAACCAAGCCACTTGTCTGTGTATCTGATAAATTTATTCGCGGAATAATTGGATTGGAATAATTGGATTTACCGGTCATCCAGTTTCTCTCGCGGCACCATGTACAAATCTCCAATAACCATTTCAGTGCTTCGTGCGGAGCAGCATGGATTTTTCCGGAGCAGCACGGATTCTTCCGAGCAGCATGGATTTTGCCAAAATCGCTCCTGTAGAACTAAACTCTTGATTGCTCGTGCAAGCTGGACGGAATCTGTGGACGCTGGTGTAGGAGTCGACGCGGCATACTTGGATTTCTCAAAGGCATTCGACCATATAGACCATCGCATTCTCCTCCACAAACTCCAGAAATATGGAATCGGCGATCCTGTTCTGCGCTGGATAGGAGACTTTCTCGTGCAACGTCAACTGAATGTGAGGGTTAGAAGCAACCTGTCGGAATCCATCGAAGTTCAGTGCGGCGTAGCTCAAGGCTCGATACTTGGACCCCGCCTGTTCCTGGTTTTCATAAATGATCTCGCGAGCGTGCTCTCTTCTAACCGTTTGCTAGTTGCTGATGATCTAAAGGTATGGCGCACTATACCTGCAGTGGAGGATTACAGAGTGTTACAGGAGGACCTGGACAAAGCGTACACATGGTCCATCGAGAACACGTTGCATTTCAACGTCACCAAGTGCAAAGTTTTCAGTATACGGTACAAGAGTATGCACAACTACCGCTTAGGACCACAAATCCTACAGCGAGCTTCTCACGAGTGCTATCTTGGCGTCATATTTCAAGATAACCTCGGTTGTTTGAGGCAGACTGAAAATGCAACTAAGAAAGCAAACCAGTACCTCAGCCTTCTTCGCAGAGCTTTCGGAAAGTTTGACACTTCAGTCTTTTCAAAAATGCTTAGTGCGTACGTGAGGCCGCACGCGGAATACGCTATTCAAGCGTGGCAATCCTGACCCAAACGCCATCTCACCGCACTCGATACTGCACAACGTAGGGCAACGAAGAGCGTCAGAGGTTTGACCAGCCTCCCCTTCCCACTCAGACTGAAGACTCTCAAAATATGCAGTGGACGTTATCGGCGTCTAAGGGGCGATCTCAAAATGGTGTACCAGATCCTGAGAAACTCCAACTACCCATGCCATTCCCTTCTAATACTCAGTCAAAACACCTCGCTAAGAGGTTACCAGTTTAAGTTAGTCACGCAGTACAGCCGCCTGGAATGTCGGCGAAACTATTTCTCCCTTCGAGTGGCACAGCCTTGGAACGCCCTCCCGGAACATGTAATTAATGCACCCACCCTATCCCATTCCAAAAAACGCCTTGACGATACTGTATCACATTTACACTACGTGCTATAGCTCATGACCACCAGATGCTGGTACTAATGCACAACAGACAGTGGATAGTGCCATAACCCTACTCGAGAATGAGTCACCCCAAACGCCTTGCACGTAATTTGATAAACGCTTCTACTATAGAAACTGTATTTCTGTATCCTGTCGACCCAAGTTAGTTGCACACGAGTAAGCGTTATCCTTGCTATCTTTTTTTACTTTTCTCGCCTATGATGTGGACAATAACC